CTCATCATGATTGCTAACAGAGGCAGTGAGGGTACTAAGAGAGAAGGGATCTAGACTTGAGGGTTCAGGGATTGCTCTTTTTAAAGTATATGATTAACTTTTTAAATAACAAAAGCCCATTAAACAGGAGAGGAGTTGATACAACCTCTGCTCCAAGGCCAGACTTATGCCTGTAATTCCAGCACTTTGGAAAACCAAGGCAAGAGGACCACTTGAAGCCAGGAGTTCAAGATAAACCTAGCCAAATAGTGAGACTTTGTCTTTAAAACAAAGTGAATAAAGTTAAATAAATAAACCCTCTGCTCCAATCTTTGTGCATGCAGAAAGCAGGTATAACTGTGAACCAATTGGAAAACAGCTTCTTCTGAGACTCTTGAGATTTTCTGAGCAAATCACCATATATCAGCATAGGGACCATTAAAGCAGGACAAGATCACATCTGATCTTCCACATCTGACCATCTTCCTGGTGAGCTAACATTGTCTCTCCTAACACATACACACATACACGGAAAAAGGTACAGGGTAAATTTTATTAAGAACCACATAAGGGGTGCAGACCCTATATGTAGCAGCAACAGAGGAGGGACAAATCACTTCCAGCTGGGATGGCTTCAGAGTCTAGGTGATGAGGGCTGAGTCTTTAAGAAAGAGCAGGATCAGGATCTCTAGGTTAGAGAAGAGGACAGTTGGCAGGAATAAAATGACACAAGGACAATGAGAAGAAAAAGACATACTTGGAGCACAGTGAGTGAGGGCAGAGAAATGTATGATTAGGTTGGTAATTTGTATCCTGGGGCTCAGTTCTGATGGATGCTAACTATCAGGATGAGGAGTGTAGGATTTACTCTGTGGGTGGTGGGTTTGCCATCAAGAGGCTTCAAGCAGGAGAATGGCAGTTAAAAGCAGGGAAGAGTAAAATTTAATTTAATGTGCAAGATTTATTGGAAGGGGAAAGGGCAGGACTGCAAGCAGGTAAACTAGAGAAGGGGCTATCTAAGAGTTCAGTCAAGAGATGATGAGGTTCTAAGATAATGACAGATTCAGGAAATACAATGAAGCAAAAAGGGCTTGCTGGCTGTGGGAAGAGAAATCAGATGAGACTTAATTTCAAGTTGGGGTGACCTGACCATTTAATAAAGACAGGCCAGGATAATTCATGTAAGGCCAGGACTTGTAGTCAAACAGCTGGGGTTTTCCCTCCCTACCTCCTACTAGGTCCTGCCTATCCTTTGAGACCAAGGTCAAGGTCTTTTTCCTCCTTGAAGCGTTCTCTGTTTATTTCAGGCCAACCTGGCCATTGCCTTCTTGTAGTTCTTATTGGCCCAACAGTTCACCTTTCCCTTTACCCCTTTCTCCAAATGGCCTCAAGAGAAGGGGCTTTCTGCCTACCCAGAGAGCATATCTTTCAACAAGGTAGTGCCTTCCTTAGACCTTGCCCTTTTCATTTAGAGAACACAGTAGAGCGCTAGGCATCTATAGGCCCCCAAGAAATAAACAGACTCATCAGTGACCAAAGAGAAGGAAGCTGTGTGAAGAAAATGGGACAGTCCTTATTCCAATACCTGGGTTGGTACCTAGGCTTGGCACTGAACCAGCTTGTGAAACCTTTAACACTTAAACCTCTTTGAGCCTCAGGTTTCTTATTCATCTAACAAGGCAAAGAATCTCTACTTGCAGATTGGTAAGAGAGTACCTGGGATACCCCACTGTCCTACATAAAGCAGCTGTCCCCCATGTGGGGCACATGGCAGGCACTCAGTGATAATGAAGCACCCAGAGACCTCTAGAGGACAGTATTGTTTCCTTATGGTTGTCCTTTGTTTCCCCCATCCTGATATAACCCAGTAGATATACAAGAAATCATTATGGCTGCCTTTTATTGAGTGCCGAAGATGTGATGATCTACCATTCCTTCAGTGTGTTTCAGAGGTGAAGTCAGCACACAGGGAATGAGTTACACACATTTATGATGGGTCTATCTCTGGAGACTCAGAGAGGTCTCCTGACTCCAGTATTATGTCCAGACAAAAGTAGTATCCACAGTACCTTGTGTTTCTGTTGCTCATATACCTGTGCTTCCCAGATGATGATCTGGAAGGTAGAATTCACAGCTTTGCAAGACTGAATAGTCTCATCTAGGATCCTGACCGCCTTCTTGTCTAAATATCCAAGAGACACATTTCTGGTCAATTATCTCAAAATTCAAATTTTACTTTAGAACTTCATTAATTGCTAAAAGTTTATTTGAAAACAATCAGGCTAAGGACCAAGGCCCTTTTGAACCTGGTTTGTGGAGTGGTCTCTTTATAAGAAGTAATTTGTTAGTACCTAACCACGTCAAGGACTGTAATGAAGATGAAACAGAAAAGGGCAGTGAGATGATATGCTATATATAATGTTTTTGAAAAATGAATCTATTAAAGGACAGCAAAGGATAGCAAAACCAGAAAGGAACCTGCCACCATAGACCAGAAAAAGGGAGTTGATTGTCTGAAAGAAGGTGACAAGAGTGAAGATGGAAGAAAAGTAGGAGGATCCAGAGATATTTTAAAAAGCGTTAAGCTAGGCGTGGTGGCTCACGCCTGTAATCCCAGCACTTTGGGAGGCAGAGGCAAGAGGACTGCCTGCATCCAGGAGTTCAAGACCAGCCTGGGCAACTTGGTGAGACTTCATCTCTACAATAAATTTAAAAATTAGCCAGGCATGGTAGTGTGCACCTGAGGTTCCAGCTATTTGGAAGGCTGAGGTGGAAGGATCACCTGAGCCCAGCAGGTTGAGGCTGCGGTGGCCGTGAGCATGCCGCTACACTCCAGCCCAGGCAACAGAGTGAGACTCTTATTCAAAAAAAGAGAAGAGTTAAGACTACTTGGTGACAGGAAGAAGAAAGAATCAGGGATGATTCCCAAGTTTCTTGTTTGGGCAACTGTGTGGATTCTGGGACCATTTACTAAGACAAGGAAAACAAAAAGAAGGGAGAGTTTTGTATGTGGAGAAGGGGGAATGAAAATGGTGAAATCACTTGGAGACCATATTGCATTTGAGGTCCTTCAGGAACATCCAAGCAGATATGTCTAATAGTTGGTTAAAATGAATCTGACCAAATTTATACTGAAGTTTATAGGGAAAAATAAACATGCAAGAATATACTGGAAAAACTGAAAAAGGAAAACTACTGAGAAGGACTAGCTCTAGCAGATACATGAACTTATTATAAATCCTCATAATTCAAACTGCTGTATGGGAACCAAACAGACCAATGAAATCAAATAGAAAGCCCAGAAAGTTTCCCAAGTATACATGAAAATTCAGTATGTAATATTAAATTGTTTTGTATTTAGTTGGTTCTCAAATCACTGGAGCAAAGATGGACTTTTAAATAAGTGATGCTGGAGCAAGTGAGAAGCCAATTCAGAAATGAAAAAAATCCATATTTTGCAACATACACAAGTATAAATTCTAAATGTAAACAAGTAAAACCATATGAGCATTAGAAGAAAACATAGGTGAATTCTTCTACAACCTCATATAGGAAAACTTTTCTTAACTATGAATCAAAATCTAGATGCAATACAAGTTTGACAGATTTGACTATACTTTCTAATGCATGGCAAAACAAACAACGCAAAAAAAGGCCATGGAGCCAAAAAAACCACTGACAAACTGGAAAAAAAATTGCAACATGTACAACCGACAAAGGCCTAACAGAGTTAATGTATAAAGAACACTTAAAAATTGAGGGGAGATGGACCAACACCACATTAGAAAAATGTGAAAAATACATGAACCAACAACTCACAAAAAAAGATACTTAAGCTGTCCTTAAACATAGAGAAAGGTAAAAATAAAGTGCCATTGAGGTACTACTTCTCAACTATCACATTAGTGAACATTTAAAAGTATGTCACACACTTATGCTGGGAAGGGTGTTGGGAGTCTCCTATAATGCTGGAGGGAAAGCAAAACTAGGTCTGATATTTGGGGGAGGGAATAACCTGGAGATGTAGGAGGGAAAACTAGTGTAGAAAGACATCAACGAAGATGTCGAGAAGGAAGTTGGTGAAATCGGTTTGAAGTACATGGACTTTGAGGTTCCTCAGGGACACTGGAGCAGTGATGCCCAAAAGACTGGTGGCAAAGCTGACCTGAGATACAGAGGGAACAGCCTGTAGATGTAGATGGGAGAGTCGTCGGTGTTTACAGGGAAGTGAATAAGATCACCCAGGGAGAGAGAACATGTGGACTGAGGAGAGAGGAGACCCCAGGACAGAACCCCAGAAACACCGGTGACAAGTCAGCCTCCTGGCAGGCACCACCACTCAGGCTCTAGAGCCAGGCACAGCCGGTCTTGAAAGTGGGTTGTGGGGTTCAGGAGTTGAAACTCTTGGCAAAGTCGGGTACCCTCTCTGATGAGCTGTCACACCTGGCGACAATGGGCATCTGAGAGGGATGCTGGGAAATGCGCCAGGTAAAGCACCTGGGGTCAGGAAGCCACCCTCTCTTCCTTTCAGTGACTATCCTTTGACATACACACTCACACAAACCCACCCCGACCGTCTGCAGCTTCCCCGTCCCTCGAGGATGGATGATGAGGTGGGTCAGGCGGG